GGAAACGTATCGTATGCCAGGCACTTTACTAGTCCACCACTTATTTTACTTGATCCCGACAATGACCTGCAAAGTAAGTTACAAGCAGGACTCAAAGAGGACCTTCACGCCAGGAAGCTAAGAAACTACCTGAAACTGCGCTTCTAATTAATATGTGGTATAATTGCGGTTTAAACTCAGGAACACCTGCCTCTACAGATTAATTATACTCTGCGACATCACACTGACTTCCAAATTAAGATGTGGGAAAAAGTGCTCTTCTGTGGATCCTCTATCATTAAAAAAATTTATAAAATGTTATAAATTTTATTTAAAAAAAAAAAAGTCCTCAAGCTTTTAGTAGATTTTATATAGAATATGAGGCAAGTATTAGTAATAGATTTATTAAGTATTGGAAATGAGGACCTCTTCATTTAGCCCATAATTAGATCTCAATTGTTCATTTTACAGGTCCTTGTAATAGCAGTTGAACATTTCTTCCTTTGTGTTGTATGTGTTTTTCAAAGTGCTGTGAAAGACTGTTGATCAGCAGCCTTTGCATCTTTTGGCATTTTACGGCTGATGCTCTACAAACATGGACAGCCAAAGAAAATGCAGACGGTTCTACAGAACACAAAGCATAGCAACATACGGTATGCATTTAATTCTAAGAACGTTTGCTGCTTAACCTCTGGGTGTCGCTCCACAATTCCTTTATAAGGCTACTCATTTCCAAGGAAGGTTCGATTGCCAAAAACAGAGCAACGGGCCCCATGTGTGTGCTGTATGACCATTCAGATGCATATAATGTGTATGAATGCCTTTAAGCAAGTGCATTTAGCATGTGCTTCTTAGCACTATCAGATGTACTTATGAACTATTCCCCCTCGATGGTAAGCCCCTTGAGGGCAAGTGTCATGCCTGATATCTCACCTTATTAACTGTACATAACAGAGTAACCATAATATCTGTCATGGATATAGCACTCTGCAATCTATAAATTGCTTTGATGGATAAGCCCCCTAACTACTTGTGACATTTGCCACATCTTCCAGATGAGGCTCTCAGAGACTGAGCAATTAGCTAGAATCACAAACTAGTAGGCAATGTTTTCTTCTTGCTCACAACAGAAAAGTATTCATACCTTGTCTTGTACTATTTTCTTCTCTTAATGGGTTTTTATTACAAGGATTATTACCTATTGGCCTTTTTATTAAAATAAAAAGGTAGGATATATATATATATATATATATATATATATATATATATACACACACACACACACACACACACACACATATATATATATATATATATATATATATATATATACACACACAAAACACGCACACACACAAATGTAAGATACTGTTCTTAGGGCTTTACAAATATTAACTCATATAATCCTCCTAACATCCCCATGAAATAGATGTTATTTTTATCCCCATTTTACAGATAGGAAAACTGTGGCACAGAAAGATTACCTCATCCAAAATCACCAGACTGGTAAATGCCAGCAGTGACGTTTGAATCCAGGAAATCTGGCTCCAGATTCTATGCCTTTAAGTTATCCTGTACTATTTTGCCGGAATAAGAATCTCAAAAGATCCTTGGTGGGGATATGTGACCAATTGTTCAACAAGGGAGGGGGAATATGTTTACTCTCCCTATGTGATTTATTTGATTATATTCTAAAACCTTTCCTCATGCCAATAGAACTCCATGTAAGTACTATACTAAATTTTCCTGTGCTGAAGGCATATGTAATGGTTACCTTGACTGACACATAAAATACCCAAAACAAAATACCCCAAGGCTTGAGGATTTTTTGTTTCATGCATTAGACACATGAAAGGACTGTCGAGGCATCAGAAGTGTGAGAAGCTCACATCTGTACGTCTTTCTTGGAGATTTTCACATTTCTTACCCGAGAATGTTTCCTGTCTGAACTATTCCAGTGTTCATTCTCTATCCGACTTTGAAAATTATCTAATTCTTTTTAATTTTTAATTTTCAAGTAGTTTTTTCTTCACTCCGTGCAAGCACTTGCTTTCAATACGATGTTTAACACTTTGTATGTTTTTATTTCAGTTGTCTTGGAAACATGCAAGTAAACATGCAAACATATCGTAAAGGTTTAAAATTTGGGGTGGGTATATGTATATCCAAGCCTTTATAAATTAGATTTTGAGGAACAAGCATCACAGTACTCAGGTCACAGTAAGAGATTCCATGTGAAATGTAAAAACTACCTTGAATAAATTATCCATTAGTTAACACTCTCATTAGAATGACATATTTATTATTTCTGAGTTTGTGACATTCCTTTAATGCACTTTGACTAACTGTTCTAATGGCATATTAAGAAACTACTTCAGGCCTTTTTACCCTCCATTGGAATTTGTAGACTTTATTTACATTTGAACTAAAATAATTTAAAATAACATAACACAAACAATCACCCGTTTCCCAATTGTAGAATACCATTTTATTCTGCCCAGAACCATTTAATGAAAGCAGGATATAACTTCAGTAATTATTTTTGCACACAATGACTCTAAAATTAATAGTCAATTGTTAAGAGTGTTTAAAATTCGGGAGACTGACAATCAAAACACCCTTAAATGCTTTGTTTATGTGATGAAAAGGAGTGATCCTTTAATTCCCTCACACACATTAAACTGATTTCACAGACTTTCTGTACCGGTGTTTAACATAGTCAAGTGCTTGAGGTTACATAAAATAAACAATCTTGAGATCTTATTGCAAATGTTTGCAATTTACGATGTAAACTGATTTGTGAAAAAATAACAGGATCCCATGTCACTGAAAGCCAAAAAGGCATTTTTCAGAAATCAAAATAGTTCCGAAACTTGAGCATTGCATTATACTAAAGTATTACCATCTGAGTATCTGAAAAGTTATAAATCTAAGGAAAAAACTCAGAAGAGCTATTTTATCAGCCCAGCTTCCTGAAAAGGCCTGTGATCTTAGAGGGCCTCTAGCATCACAGGGTCCTTAACACTTGAATAGTCTCTTTTAGCGCGGGTTTTCCCCAATCAGGGACTCTGTAGCTCCGGAAGGCTTTGCACACCCGGAAAGATTGGGGTGAAAGGGGGGAGGGAGGGCGTTTAACTTTTTTCATTTAATTATTTATTAAGTGTATTCCCTCTCGACCCAAACCACATGCATGTTGGGCCTTATTTAAACCTAAAGACCCGGCTCCATCATGGAATGGACATTTTAGACACTGGTTTTGCTTTTAGCTCTGCTGAATCCCCAACTTCACCGCCTCAGACTCCTCCTGTGGCTCTGGAAACTCGGGGCTCGGAACACCCTGGCGCCTGCCTGTGAGTTTGGGCCCAGACGCCCCAGGAAAGCCGGTTCTGCCTGCACGTGTGGGAGGCTGAACCCCAAGGGCCCGGTCTGAAAAGGCAGCCTTCGCCCGCGCCTGGTCTCCGCAGAGCTGACGTGGAAGGAGGCAAGGATGCCACGAGCGCCCCTAAGGCTCGGGGGTCCCCCCAGGCCGCGCCGGGCTCCAGTTCAGAGCTTGGGGCCAAGACACTGTGGCCTTTCTCACCCCGCCTGGCTGGCCTCCGCGGGGCCCTCGGCCTTGCGCGCTCCCTTCCGAGGAGGCCCGATCCCTCGGGGCTCGGCGCCCAGCCCTGCAGCCTCCGGTCCCAGGGAAGGTTCCTGGCTGCCCCAGGCGCTGGCTGGTCCCGGCCGGAGCGCACACTGCCTCCTCCGACCTCGGGCTTCCCCCCAGCTTGGCTGCGTGGGGCCGGGCGGGACTGCGCTCTGGCCGCGCGCAAGGCTGGGCGGGACCGAACCGCCAGCTCCCCAAACCCAACTTCTCCCATGACCTCTGACCTCTCTCGGGGTGCCCAGGCACTGTCCTATCCCTCGTCGGGGGCTGGATTAGGGGCTAGAGTCCGGGTTGGGAGCCTGCGGGTCCGGCCCCGTCCGGGGCGCCCACGGGGAGCTCCCCGCGGGCAACCTGGTCGGGGCGCGCAGAGCGGCGGCCGCTTCCAAGCGCGCTCCGCCGCGGGCAGAGGTTTATTCGGAAACAAGGGACGCGCGCTGGAGACGTCCCTAGTCTTGGTCTATGGTCTTCGAAAGCAAAAAGATACATATGAACCTATCACCCCTTCCTACGCCAAGGAACAGATTTGGATGCGAACTCAATTCAAGAGAGGGCCTGGGCGAGTGCGGCCAGAGGACGCAGGGTTTGGCACAGGGTGCCTCCCATTCCTAGAGCCCGGCGGGGAAGGGAGGGTCCTGCCCCGGGCCGGGCCAGGGCGGATCTTCCCGGTTTCTACCAACCCCTAAACCCGTAGTGTGTTTGGGCTTTACTGGGGAGACTTGTTTTGGGAGAGGGGGCCCAAAGGGGAAGGAGGGAAGGGCTCTTCGGTGTTCTGATGGCTAAGACCGGCTTTTCCTGATGAAGGTCATGGTCCCGGCTTCTACCTTTTCCTAAATTTAACCAAGCCGAGAAGCTGCGTTGGTCCAAAAGTCAAACTGGAAGGCGAGGTGCGGATCTGTCCTTCCCAGCGCCTTGGTCCCCCTCCTCGGCTCTTGCCCTAGTCCCCCAAACCATCGCCTGCCCATCTCCAGGGAGGCTCGGCGACTTGGGACTGAGTATTAGTTATGCCACAATTAACCCAAGTGGATTTTGCGCCGCGCGATTCCGCTCCTCTGCCTACCCAAAGTGTCTCCCAAATAAACCTCTTCAAGGGCCAAAGTGCAGCAAAATGAAGAACAAGAGTCCATCTTGGGGAAGGGACTATTCTATTGTTATTTTTATATATGATCTGTTCCTTTATTGAATTGGTGTAAAAAAAATAAATCCGGGTTCTATGCCAAGTGGATGTCATGGGGGAGGGGGAGTTTGGTTCAGTGTGGTGCCACAGAGCCTCTGTTCTCAGGGCCCCTTGATGGCGGCTGGTAGGAGTGGAGGCGAGCGCTTTCCAAGTTGGTGGAATCATCAACAGATACACATTCATCAGCAAGGAAGAAGGAAAGACTATCTAGGATAGTTTAATAACAACAGGAACAAAGATGACGCGAACCCCATCAAATGAAACAATACTATTTTCATTCAATTGATCGCAAAGTGTCTTCAATGAATAACTTGGCACTTATTTAAAAGGTTTTTGTTTTTTTTTAACAGAGGTGAAACCGAAAACATTTTGTACCGACAATACGTCATGGAAATAACAGCATCTTCTTTTGTTTAAAATAACTTAATACACTAGAAAAAAATATGGCAAATATAAATAATTTTGTTTTCATGGAGAACAAATAGTTACAAAGCTCAACCGCATACTCCAGTTCAGTGAAAAGAGCTTTTCTTCTTTCTTGTAAATAAGAATGCGGGGAAAAAAAACACACACACAAAACAAAACTAAGGAGGCTTTCTAGAGAATTGGGATACAGGTTGCTTTAGTCCAGGGTATCCCATTTTGAACAGCTACAGGAATTGAAACAAACAAAAAAGTACTTTAATATACACCTTTGTGAGATAAAATGCAGATGTCGAAAGTCAACCATCAGTTCACACATTATAGCCAAAATAAACTTTGTTCGTGTGTATCAACATATTTTACAGAAACCTAGTGCCTGTATCTAGCTGGGTTTTGCTTAAGGTGAGTGGGACAGGATAGAGAGGGGAAAAATAAAGCAGAGCCCTCCAATAGGACTTCAGGGAACCAGCAGGTGGGTAGACAAGAAAAGGGGAGGGGAGGTGGACCACTGAGGGCCGCCTATGGGCACCATTTGAGGTGCTGTACCTTCGTTATTTTTATTTGGTCTTCTTTTGTTTTGTTTTTTCCTTTCCCCACATTTTCTGCCCATCTCCGTTTTCTTGGGACAATCAGAGTGTCAAGTTTTTCCCTTCCAACTTTTTTTCTTTTGTCCCCAAGGATCAGGGAAAGTATATATAGATAGATATAGATAGACATCAGTTTCCAGATGCTTTTGTTATTGTTTTTCATACTGAAGATGAAAATGAAGTAAGTACATGTGAGTAAGCAGGGAGGGGGGGAGACACCATCAATGGAATAAAAGTAACATGCAAACCGGAATTGACTGCCAACAGCCTGGACAGTTCTGCCATAATTTCCTCAGAGAAATCAGTTTGTGGTATCATTTTTTATTCGTATTAATATCAATTTCTTTCTCTCCTTATTTTTATACTTTTTCCCTCTTCTTGCTCTTCCATTTGTGGTGGTTTTTTGTTTTTTTTTAACTCAAAGTATCTGGTTCAACATAAAAGGAGGCCCGCCTCTCTTATCAAAGTTCTCGTAATTAAAATGAACTTCGCAGAAAAAGGTCAATTTCAAAACCTGTGAACTTCCCAGCTGCGCACCTTTTTTTTTTTTCTTTTTAAAATCTTAACTCTTTAAATAAGTATACCTCTTCCATCTGGGTTGCTTTATTTGCCCGTGGGGGCGGGCATACACTTTTAAGTTGGCCACTCCCCAACCACCCATTCTCTCGAGATTCTTCCAGGTGATTTTTCCATATTTTTAAACATACAAAATACTTTCATTTTGTGTGTGTGTGTGTGTGTGTGTGTGTGTGTGTGTGTTCCTTGGTTCTCACTCCGATGTTAGCTTCTTTCCAATCGTCATCAGAAACACGTTCCCTTTCTCTCTTTTTTTTTTCCGTTTGTCTTTTCTCCCTTTTTTTTTGTTGTTGTTGTTCATTTTTTTTATTATTATTAAGAGGATTTTTATTTTTGAGCAAGAGTCCATCTCTGCATCTTTGCCAGAAGCCACACCATGGTGTCCCAGCACGCCCTTGTCCAAGTTCTCTCCTCCAGAACTCCCCCAAACCCGGCCCTGCAGAGCTGAAGGCCAGGCCCTCTGGACAGCCGCGTGGTCAGCACAGCCACCGAGTTGACGCGCCTCGAGGGATCGCAGGTCCCGCGAGGAGTCCTGCCCTCCGAGTCCAAACGAAACGCAGAAGCGGGCAAGGGGGCGATCAGCCGGGCGGGCGGCAAGAGGCTGGGTTCCGGGGGTGCGGAGAGGGGGTGCGATGGAGAAGCATTGGGGTGCGGAGGGCGCGCGCGCGGGGGGCGCACGCCAGGCGCCACCGGGGGCGCTGGCGGCGGCGGCGGCGTCACAGCCCCAGGGCGGCCGCGTGCTTTTTGGCTTTCAGTCTGAGATCCGCGATGCTGGAGTTCTTGCTGGTGGTCTTGGCGGCGGCGGCGGCGGCCACGACGGAGGCGGCGGAGGCCGAGTCGGCGGCCAGCGTGGCCAGCGGCAGTCCGAAGGGCGGCGCCGGGAACATCATGTAGGGCGCGTGCGCGGCCAGGTGCGGGTGCAGGTGGTGGTGCGCGTGCGCCACGGCGCTGTCCAGCTGCAGCTGCGCCTGAACCTGAAAGGACAAGGGCGTCACGTTGCAATGACTATCCTAGGGTGACAACAGAATAGAAACAAGAGCATTAACGGCGTCTGGCGTGGCGCAGGCAGGCGAGGGCTGGGGCGGGGATGGGAAAGGGGGCATTTTGGCTAACCTTCTCAATCAAGTGACTGGATTCTGGGGCGCCCACGGGGGAGTGACTCCCGTACCCCTGAATCTCTGCAACTCACTCAGGCTTATCTCCCTAGGCCCCCCAAGACGCTGAGACTGCAGGAATGTGGCCGCTCCTTAGGGGGCTGGGCCCATAGGAGAGCCACGTAGCTATTATTACAAAGCATCACCCTCCTCAAAATAACAAGGGTGTACTGGCAAAACGGGGTGAGGGCCAGCTACCCTCCTCTCTGGATGTTGTCATACACATCTAAGCTCACTACTAAAGCACTTAACAAGTGCCAACAAGCAAAAGACAACAAAGCAAGTACCAACAAGCAAAGGACAAAACTTTGTAAATTACTGCATCTTCATCACAATTAGCACAATGGTTGGTACTTGAAACTCCTGTGAAGATTATCTGGGGACCTCGTTTCAGTGCAGATTCCCATTCAGAAAGTCTAGGTTGGGGCCTAACTCTTTGAATTTCTACTCATCTCCCAGGTGCTGCTGATGCTGCAGACCTACAGATCACCTTCTGAAAAGTGAGGGTCTCCTTTTAAGACCCCTTTCTCTTTCCCCGGTCATTCTTTCTGGCTTCAAAAGCCTAGCACCATGATACCAGAGTCCTGTGGTGCCAAGAAGAAAGCTAAGAACGCCCTAACACTAACCCTCAATACATCGGTGCACTCATGTGTCTTCCCAGTCTAGGACACTGGCAAAGGAGAACTAATTCATGACTTCATAGTCCTACCAAGCAGGGGTCCTGGCTGAGGTGGAAGGTTAGTCAGAGGCTGGGTGGGAAAGGATTGAGCCTTTAGGCTTGGAGAGTGGGGAGTTCAGAGCACGGGGAGTTCCCAGGATTAAATCATTGCTGTAGGCTGTCCTTTTAAATGTAGTCTTAAAAGTTTCTTTAAGGCTAGGAAAGGCATTGCAGAGGCAGGGCATCCCTGGGAAGACCAAGGCAAGGCTTCCTTCTCTCCTAAAGATGAAGCTTTGTTTGTAGACAGCTTTAAAAAATCAAGTCTGAGCAAGAGAGTACTTTTATTTATTTCCTTTTCTTCTGTCAGAGACAGTTAATGTGACTTTACCTAGAAAAATATTTAGAGAATTGCCTCAGAAACACCTTAGGACTAACCTCTGTATTGGATCTGACAAAATCTTAATCAAAAGGCTTTTCCTTCCTCTCCCCAAGCTCCATCTTTAGTGCATTTTTAAAGGATCTGTTTCTGCCCTCAGGCCTCTCTGGGTTTCCCAGGAGGACAGAAAGGACCAGACGTGTGGCCCCCTGACACTCTACAGGTTTTTTTTTTTAAAGGGGAGAAGGTCCACTATATCATCTCAAAATTGATTCTTCAACTGCGTGGACACCAACAACTGGGGCTTACAGAGAGGGGGATGGTCAACAGTTCAAGCAAACATCCGGGTGTTTTTACAGTTAAAAAAAAAACAACAAAACAAAACGGGTTGAAACTGGGCTGTACTTGCCTGCTGAAATGGCATCCTTAGAGCACCTACATTGACATAGGGTGCAACTCTACAAGCTTCAAACTGGCTGGCAGCCCCTATGAGGACGCCTGCAAAGAACAAGGGAACAAAACACAATAACGTGAGATGAATATTTCCAATATTGTTTTCCAGGGTTCCAAATGGTAGCAAGCTAGAACTAATCCCTTTGGAAATAATCTCTTATCTTCCTAAACTACTGCCATAATTAAAATAAGTCGAACTTCCTCCCAAACGTTAGGACTCTCATTAACTGCCTTCAGAAAAGGTTTTTAAGCAAGGACCATTATTATTTTGAGAAGATTTTTCTGCATTTGTAATAGAAATATTATATTCCCCACTCTTTTTTTTTTTTTTTTTTTACTTAGAATACCAAATGTTCTTTGTCTGAGAACCATACCTTTATGGAGTTGATTTTCTTGTTTTCTACATTTAGCTCTTCGATTTTGGAACCAAACCTACACATTGGAGAGAAAATATATAACCTAGATGTTATGACTCAAAAAATATTTTAATTACAAAAGTAGACGAAAAAAGAGTAATGCTTTAGGCACAAACTATGAGATGTAGCAAGCAACCTTTGAATTAATAGAACAATCTCAATTTCCAAACTTAAAAGTGTATGTGAATGATAAAAATATATAGATTTCATATACTTTTGCAAGATGGTTTATTGGTAAATTGCTATTAGTCCTGGTTTCATCTTTCTACATGACAGAGTTCCCAAGGCCTAAAACCCTTGCTGATACCCGATACCAAAGTGATAATGGGTTTAGATGTTCGCCCAGTAAGACCTGAGACAAATGTGCTCATTAATTGTCTGTAATATTAATTAGCTTCATCTTCAAGAAAAACCAAACACCAAAGCAAATAGTGACTCTTTTTTTCCTCAGGGCTGTGAGAGGGGGATGAGAGTGGGGGAAGAGGTAATTAGTGTCATAAAAGCCTCACTACAAAGAAGTTTAGAATTTCTCTGTTCCTCCATGCAACAGAGTGTAACACAGTAGCAGAATAATTGTACTATTATCATGATAATCTAATTTGCTTCTATAGAAATAGCCCATGCTCACAGTTAGGGTAGTAGAAAAGCATCCGGAAAATAGCTCAAAAAATGTTTTTAAGTATGAAAAAATAAAGATAGGCAATAAATCACTTCTTAGGAGAAAAAAGAGAGAGAGAATATTGTGTGAAAGGGGTTGGAGTATGAATTGAGCAACTCCTGGATACTCTCTTCTCCCAGCTATAACCTTCTTAAACAACCTCGCCAACTTCTAGAGGCAATCGGACAGACTTTTTAAAATTCAAAGAAAGCTTGCTTTTTTTTTTTTTACTCTGATAATACAGCATTATGTCCCAATAAGATAGCATATTGACCGATCCGCCAATTTGTGTTTTAAAACACATGAAAGCAAAATATCGCTTCTGAGCTTTGTCTTGTTTTTAAAAGCAAGTGTCATCGTCCATGTAAATCTTCAAAAATTCCCCTGCCATTTAGCGTCATAGAAGGGCAGATTTCATGGCAGGGTGGGCATCCTTTGTGCAACTCACATGGCCTGAGGCTCCTTGCCTCTTCCCCCGCCCTCCCTCGTAGAGTTGGAGCTGAGATACTAATGCTCATAACTGTAATAATTATCATCGTGTCTTTAAGGGGTTGCTGAGCCTCTAGAGATCTCAGAACACAGAGCGAGGCAGGGGAGGCTTAAAAAGGAAGGCTCCGCTGTTGATGCTGTGATGACCAAGGCAGCCTATTATGGCTTCTCCCCTTCAACTCCACTGCTGTTTTTGTCCTGATCCTATTACAAGACGCGGGGAAGCCCCCTAAGAATTGCATAGTTCGCTGCAGATGGTGGTCTCTGCGCCCAGAGACCTGGGGAGTATCTGTTACAGTGATACTTTGTAACAGCTGCAGATGTTCAGGCCTAAAACTGCTCCATGTGTTCAAACAAATAATGACCATCCTTTTCTCCCACTTTATTATTGGAGCAAAATGCAATCTGAAACATTTAAAATTTGCTCTCCATAACCCTAGGGTATGTATGCATGGATGCATATACATGTTCAAATGAACCGCTTCCCGAAGCAGCCTACTCTCACCCTCAGACCAGAAGAAGCAAACAAACAAACAAAACCCTAGAAAACAAAAAACAATCCTAATAGCATGAGATAGGGTGCTCACTGGGGTCGGAACTTCGAAAAATGTCAACGTTAAGATCTGGGGGTTGTTTTAAAACCAAGTTTCTGTAGGTTGAGGTTCTGCTGCTTTGGTGAAGCGAGGGAACAAAGAGGGACCAACATGCATTTATTTCTCTGCTGCTCCGCACGCGCACGCAGTTTGAGATCAACTGCTAAGGGCAGACTGTAAATTTCTGCATTTAACAGTTGCTAATTTTCTTTATAGTCTGTACATCTATAAACCTAATTGGCACATCCGCTTGGCAAACCTAGACCCCGGAGCAGACCCTCAAGGAAACCCAACTCCAGCGAACAGAATATTCGTTGTAACTTTTAAGACATCCCGAAGATAAAACGTTTTCTGTGGGATATTTTTTTAAGGCTTATAAAAGTAGGCCCATTAGGATTAAACCACATTAAAGACATCATGAGGCGAGGGGGGGTGTGGTTTATAGAAACTCTGGGAGCAAGCCCAGCACAGCTTTCTTCTGCTGGGAACATATGTTGGAAAAGGGTGAAAGGGAGGGGGGGGGTGGGTAAGAGAGAAAGATGGTTTGGGACTAAGATCTACTTTGGAAAACAAGACCTCTATTTAGGACACCCCTTCCTTTCTCACCAGCCTGCACCTTTAGAGTGTGTCCAGAAGGTCGCCTCTCCAGCCCCTGGCGGGTCCCTCCTCCCTCCCTGGAGCCTGCCTCGACCTCCTCACAGGTCACAAACCTGCACTCGGGCCTCCGACAGCCCCAGCCGCTGGCTCAGCTCCTCGCGCATGAAGGCGTCAGGGTAGTGGGTCTCATCGAAAAGCCTCTCCAGCTCATTGAGCTGTTCCAGGGTGAAATTGGTCCGACTTCGCCGCTGCTTGATCTTGGTCTGGCCTTCGTCCTCCATCCCTTTCGCATCCTCTTTCCGATCCCTCAGCTCCGGGGACACTGCATGGGGCGCCACACACACACACACACACACACACACACACACAGATAAAAACACAACAAATCCCATTAACCAGATCTGTCTCCAGACCGATGGTGGCGGATCCTGCCCCCTCCTGGAGTTCCTGCCCAGTCCCTCACCCGGCCCGGCCCAGAGGAGGACGAGGCTCCTGGAGACGCGCGCTCAAGATCAACTCTGGGTGGCCGCCCTCGGGCAAGCTGGGCATTCACCCACCCATTCCCCTGAAACGGCGGCCTCGGCTCCCCTCATTATGCACCCCCACTGTTCCCTCTCTCTCCTCCGAACACCAAATCCCTTTCGCCCACTCCCTCTCTCCCACGTTCCTACAAAAATCAAAAGCGTCGCGCCCCGCCCGGGACCGAGCGCGGTGCGGGCAGGAGGGCGCGGGGAGACCACGCTCGCTCCGGCCTCTCCTGCAGAGAGCGCTGGGCCCTTCTCAGGCCAATCGCCCTCCGTCTCTCTTCCTCCAACTTGCTGGTCTGATTTGGTAACACTTGGGCCAAAGGGGCGCCAGCGGAACAAGACCCTCGTGCAGCGCATTTCCAGAGAGTCTCCTCCCCGGGAGCCCCAGTGCGGACCCAGGGCGCGGGCCAAACCCCACCGGCCATCCACGGGCGGCCAGGCAGTCCTCCTTGTCCCCCGCCAGCCGGACCTCTGTCGCCGGAGCAGAGGCTTCCACGCCATGTTGGCAGCCTGGAGGGCTGGCCGACCAGACCAGCCAGGCTGGAAGGCGAGAGGCAGCAGCCCGGCCTCCCGCGTCTCGGTTCGCGGACCTGACGGCCGCCTGGGCTCTCTCCCCGCTGCAAAGGCCGGCTGAACCCTGAATGCTTCAACCCGCAGAGATCAACAGGTTCAAGCTGAACATTCGCGATCCGCGGTTTCTAGGTTTCTATTGGTCGCTCAAAGCCTTTTTTCATGCTCCACCAGCTCGGATGTTTAATAAAATAGGCATCTTTTTTTTTCCTCCCCCCTGCCCTGGTTTTGCACACATCCGTTGCTATTTTCCTACCCTTTCTTCTCCCCCCTTTAAAAAAACAGGAGCTCTGCAAATGTGAGCACACCACGGAGCTACCCAAGGGATATATGGCTATATATTTACAGGGGCGGGCAGAAGTAGGATGACAGTTGCCATTCAAATACATAATGCAATAGTTGATAAATAGTAACACGAGAATAAAATGTTCGCGGACTCACCGCTGTAAGCCTACTTTTGCCAACTGCTGTCTATCAAGGCCAAGTGGCAGCAGCCCGGGGAGTCATCTCCACCACAGAAACTGCCCTGCGAACCTTCACCCCATGAGCCTGAGTCGGAGACTCAGGGGTTTTTTGTTTGTTTGTTTGTTTTTAAAGCGTCAAAGCTGAGTTTAGATAGAAGAGGCTGTTTGAAGATTTCCCCAGCCTTGTTAAGTATCATTTCCAAAAGGGCGGGCCTGCAGAGGAATTAATGGAAAGGAAGGACCCCAGGACGGCAAGCTACCTGGGGGTTCAGACCTTATCACCTCTCGGTGCTGCTCGCTGCTGCACCCAGGGCCCAGCACTGCGGTGGCTTCACCAGGGCTGCAGGAGGCTGCATGGAAGCATCAGGCAGCTATGCCAACACTTTGCAGATTTAAGAGAACCTGGGGCAGGGTCTGGTGGGGGGAAGAATCGCCTCTAGATCTCAGCCAGGCCTGCCATGCTTACTGCTGTGATCTTAAGGGATGCCAGCATGTCTAGGTCTCAGAGTTCGTTTTGTGGACATGTGTCCTTCCTCCTGGAAGGAAGTGGATAACATCGTAGCAAGCGTTCACAGCCAAGTTCATAAAATATGTCCACTCACAGTGTCATAAAATTTAAATATGAAAACACACTCCAGACACTGCCCAAGGTGTTGAGAAGGCTGTCTATTTTATGTCATCCACCACGGGTACCCTCGCAAACTTAAGAAAAAGATGTCCACGTTTCCAGCTGATTAATAGGCTTGATATAATCTTTATTTCGTCCCCCCAAATGCCCATTTATTGGCCTAAACAGGAACCAGACCGTGTTATAAACAACTTAATTGCTTGCCTAAATATGTGATTCTACGCATGTCACATATTTTCTTAATTGGAAAAATATGGCAGCACACCAGTTACTGCAGGGACCAAGTGCCAAATTAATTTTATTGTTGAACTCCTCTGAATTGGCACAGCACGCTCTGCCGTTTAGATAAAGCCGTCTCCTCGCACTCGGCTGGCACCGGGGGCTTCTCCGCGCACAGAACCCGAGTCCTGGGTGAGGCGAAGCGGTAACGGGATTGTGTCAATACCAAAAAGCAAACAAACAAACAAAAAAAGAGGAGCCTCACACGTCTCCCACGACACACACAGCACAGGCTGGACCTCAGCTCGCCTTGGCCTCGCTCTACCTTCCACAGCTCAGAGAGAAGGCCAAGTATGGCTCCCCGAGACCCGGGGATCCCCAAGACCCAGGGATCCAGGGTCTCTGCCGAGTTCTAGCGGTTCTTTGCCACGGTCCCAAATCCCGGGCCACCGGAGGGTGACATTTTCTTCTCTCTCTCTCTGTCTGGCTCCTTTTTCTTCTCTCCTCTCTCCCCTAGAAAAGGAGTTCTCACAAACTCTAGATGCTAACCTTGATCCCGCCGGCAGTCCCCGCCGCTGCCAGGACCCCCGCCTGCGCCCGGCCCCGCGAACTTCACCGTCCGCCCGCTCCGAGGCCCTGTCCTCCCGCCGCTGGAGAGCGCATTTGGGCGGAGTGGGAACGGCGGGAGCCTCCATCCGAGAAGGGCGCGCACCATCCCCAATACGCCCCCTTCCCTCCCCATAGACACGCGGATCCCACCCGCGACCATGCACACTACCGGACTCCCACCACCACCATCACCCCAGCTTCCAAAAACTGGGAGCCCAGGACCCTCGCCTCGTCCCGGCCGTCCCCCCGCCCACCCCGCACCACGCTGGGCCTTGGGGGTCCTCTCCCGCCTGCGCGGAGTTGGGAAGGCGGGAAGGGGACCCGGGGCCGGGGATCGGGGACCGTTACCCTCGGTGAGCCGCGGGCTGCCCGGCTCCCTGCTCCTCTCGGCGGCGCCCATGTCCAGCTCGAGGGCCGGAGAGCGCCCTCCTCCAGCTCCTCCGCCTCCTCCTCCTCCTCCTCCACCTCCTCCTCCTCCTCCTGCACCTCCTCCGCCTCCTCCGCCTCCTCCGCCTCCGCCGCCTCCGCCGCCGCCGCCTCCGCCGGCCGCCCGGACTGCCGGGTCGTCGCGGCCGGGCTCCGCGCAGCCGCCCGGATCCTTGGCCCCTCGCAGCGGCCCGCTCTCCAGCACCTCCCGGTAGGTGATGGCCTCTTTCTTCTCCTTCACTTTCTGGTCGAAAGACTTGGAGACGAACGCCGTGAGTTCTTCCATCGCCGCCGCCGCCTCTGATGCCTCCCCGCAGCCCCGCGCACCACCACCACCACCGCTCACGGCCGGGCCCCGCTCTTCTTTTTTTTCCTTCTTCTCTTTTTACTGCTCCAGCCCCCCCCAGTGATAACACATCAATGGGGCAGGGGATGGGGGGGAGGATGGAGAGGGGGGAGGAGGAGGAGGGGGAAGAAGAAAGAAGGAAAAGAAGAAGAGAAGGAAGAAGAAAGAGAAGTAGAAGGAGAAAAGTAAAAAAAGAGGAGAAGGAGGAGGAAAAGGAGGAGGAAGAGGAGGAATGAGGAGGAGGAGGAGGAGGGAGGAGGAGGAGGGGGAGGAAGGGGAGGAGGAGGAAGAGGGGAGGGGCGGGGGCCGAGGGAAATATGAACTGATGCTGCTTCCCCGCCGGAGGAGCCCGCTGGTTCAATGGGGAGATCTTTGACAATTCTTCCCTCGGAGGGGAGTTCAGATCTGATGGCGACGCTGCTCTTGAAGTCTCACTATTTATACTTCGCCCAGGCGGCCCCTGGTTCGGAGCGAATTACCTCCCTTCGCGACTCCGAGGGAGCCCCTTCCTTCCCGGGGAGCGCCCGCGCCGCCGCTACCTGCGGGGGGGGGGGGGGTGGAGGTGGGGATGGCGGGGGGAGAGCAAGAGGGAGAGGAAGGAGAGAGGGGGGAGAGAGAGAGAGAGAGGGAGAGAGAGAGAGAGAGAGAGAGAGAGAGAGAGAGAGAGAGAGAGAGAGAGAGAGAGAGAGAGAGAGAGAGATTAAACTGGAGTCCGAGCAGGCTGGGTCTGGAGTGGGAGGGCAGCGAAGGGGAAGGGGGACGGGGAAAGGGGCGGAAGGAGGAGGCAGGTCCCAGGCCGTCCGGGTTCTCTCCGAGCGAGCGCCTCGGCCGCCTGCGCACTCGGCCATTCATCCAGGATTGACAAGAAGCCCTAATTAATTTAATTAGGCGTGGATTTTGCGTCGGTGTCAAGACTTAGTTAAACACCAGGGGAGCTGGACCTGCTCCGCCGGGGCGTGGCCAAGAGGAAACTGACAAGTGCGCGGCTCCCGGAGCGAGTCCGTTATCCAGACTCCGCGCCAGACCCCGCGTCCCCGCCCGCCCGCCCGGCTTCGGGGTGCCGCCCGCCCGCCCGCGTGGCTGCCCGGCCCCTCACTGCTGCCCCGCATCCCTGCCCTGCCCCGCGCCTGGCGCCCCGCAACCCAGTTCCGTATGGTGACCCGTTATTGCAGGTCTATATCCCCGCTGCCAGCCTGACCCTCCCCACCTCCACCTCGCAGCCCGGCACCCTGGCTTTCCCACCCGGCTCGGGGGCAAGGTCCCGCTGCGGCTCCTTCAAAGGCTTCCCGGCCCCGCAGCCAGGGCTGAGCCAGGGTCTCCACCAGCCTCCCGGCCCCGGGGGATTGGTGATTTACCCCACTACTTGCGTCCTGGAGCCCAAGCCGGCTGACTCCTCCACCAACAACCCGGTTGGCCGGTCAATTGAACACGTTTCCCCGAGCAGCTGTTCCCTGACAGATTCCATATTGAAGAGTTTCCTTAGCGCCCCGCCAAGGACAGTTAGTTGGACTTGGTTCCCTCTGGGAGGTTCCAGGACCCTCACCCCGTCTCCCTTGTTACTAAACCCCTGGGGCCCGGCTCTTTCCGACATGAAAGGCAAAAACTCTTCTTTAGCAACCTGGAAAACATTCTGGTTGGTTTCCTGATTTTGAAAAGCAAGTGATTATCCTGCTTTGAATTAAAAAAAAAAAATCAGTCGATGTTAAGTTTGTGCCCCTCTTAATTTTATTGATTGCGGACTATGGAAAAAAGAGATGTTCGCCGGGAGAAAAAAAAGTCTCCGGCGCTCACCCCGGGCTGTTTTAATCGGAACAGTTAATGTGGAAGGAATGACTGTATTCCTGAGTCATTTGTCTGTGTTGTGCAGGACGAAGCTTGCTGTGAGAAGGGTGGCCACACATGTATGTCACATAAGAATATTTGCATATGTTAAGTTATATTATTTGAGTTTGTAAACAAATATATCTCTTCCAGGGTAGCGTTGGGGACGTTTTCAAGCAGTGTAAATGTTAATAAACATGAATGCAGGCTTTCTGATGTTAAAGGGAACTGGGTTTATTTTCTTAGAGCTAGTAACTCCTAGTAAAAATAAAAGCCATGACAAAACTTTGATATGTACATCTTCCATCCATTGGTTAAAGCAACAGCACGAAGTTAACAGATAATTTGAGAAGTTCCATCAGAGCAACCTAAAACATTTATAGAAAAAAAACCACCACAATTAAAACTTAATATATTAGTGTTTCTCGGATATATGTGAATAGAGGCTATACATAACTGTCATACTATACCACTCTTCAGATTAAAATGTTCACATTTGGCAAACTTGAGATAGATATAATACTTTTAAAGAAGTATTTGCCTTATTTTCTCTTGAATGCTGAAGTTATATTTTATTCTTAAAACATTTCACTATTGTTACTTTTAGGAGAAATAATTAAGATTTTTATGTTTCCAGTGCAATAACTTTTAGGTATTAATGAATTATATTTAGTGCTTGCTTTTATTTTATTATGCTATGAAAGAGACTAAAATACACTTTCCAAAGTTATATGAATTTAGGAACATGGTTTTACATTGTAATAACCTTAGTCCTGATATGAGAGGGGAATAACCATAAAAATTTAATCCTTTAAGAAAATATGTTTTTAAGGTTATTGAGCAGAATGACCAGAAAGAGCTCCCAAATTGAGGTGTTAAATACTATTCACAAATAGCTCCAAAATGACCACTTTAGAAGTCTGGTAAGGGACCAAGAGACTCACCAGCTACCTTTCCCCCCCCCCCCCCCCCCATGATTTCTAGGTCTGATCTCAAATTCCATCTACAGAGCTAGAGGGAGAGATGACCACTTTAAAGGTAATCAGAGGAGGTCCAGATAATTGATGCGATTCAGACCAAAAAGATTTTCCTGGCTCTTTGTATATTTAGGAATAATGGTGTTGATAGTTATGAGAGATCTGCAGTGTCTGATCACGGATTCTACTGGCCTAAGGGAAACTTATTTAAAAAAACACACAAAGGTTTTGAAATGATATGCTAATAAATGCTCATGAAGTTCTAATGAGGTTGTTTTATTAAATAGTAAATGTTTTCCGGAAACAGTGTATTGCAAAATACAGTTTTGGTAAAAAAAAAAAAAATTGATAGTAAAGCTCAGTTGACAGCCTGCAGACAGGTATACAAGCTCCAATAAAATTCAGGTCCCTGAGTCCTCCCAGTTATTGAATTATTTAAAATAAACGTGAAGTGTGGTAGTTAGTGTTAAAACGGTCCCTCAAAACTGGTTATTTAATGTACAGTCATTTATGACAAATGTATTTCTGGAACTTATTTTCACCTCTCAAATACCTGCAGAAAACTGTGGTTTGGGTATCTAGCGATTCTGAACGAGTTGGTTCTCGCAGTTGACCCAAACCAAGGCCAACAGTTTATTTATCTCCATATCTTTGCGTACTTATAGTTAGCAAGGAAACAGGATGCTTATGCAAGGACAGATAATTAATGCAATATGAGTTACAGAAAATGCTTAATCGCTTTAATCTTATTGATGTAAATAACAACAAGCACCTAAACAATTTCTCTCCCAGAAGAAATCTCCTTTCCCTGCCTAGGGCAGACTTCCTTTCCACAGTCCTCTAACAACCAGTTACTTTAATGTGAGAAACTTAATTTGCAACCAACCTGTGAGTGCCTTCACCTTCAGGGCAGAAGAAACACCGACTTTGAATGCATTTTTTTTTTTTTTTGCAAATAAATCATTGTATTTTAATCACACACGACTCTATGCAGACACACTCCCATGATTTATTATTTGTTGGGTGAGTTTCCTCTTCCCCCAGCTAGAGATAACCAATTTTGCTACATGTGTCTTAAACCTAACTTCCTATGATGCAGACTTGTTTATACTGGTTATCTGTGACGATAACGACGACTACAAAGGCAGTTACACCCGTCAGCCCCCACCTTTATTTATTTTTAATTTATTAATTTTGTTGTTAGAAGGCAATGAAATAATCGAACAAGCAAAGCAAAACCAACAGCAAACAAAAAATTGGCGGCGGCGTTGGCGATCTATTCCCTCGGCACTCCGAGCGCCTGGTCGCCTCCATCGATGCACTCGGAGGCTCGGCTGGCGCTGCCTGGCGCTGGAACCAGGAAGGCGGTGAGCTTAAACCGAAGCAAGTTCGGAGGACGCCGGCGGCTCCCCTGTTTGAAGAACCATTTCCAAATCTTGCGGCGCTTGCTAGTCTACGGGAGGTGCGATCCCGAAGGCCGGGAGCCAGGTGATGCCCTCGCCGGGGCCCGGGAGGCGGCGCCGCGGCGGCGGCGGGGTTCCGAGGCCTTGCTCCTGCGTGAGGCGGCGCGGGGCCTGCGGCCGCCTGGGAGGCGGCGGGCCGGGGGCTGGTTCCCAGGTGTGCGGCGCGGGGGCCAGTGCGCATGCGTCCCGCACCTGCGGGCTCCGGACCCCGGTGCTGGGAGCCGGGGCCCCCGGCGGTGCCTGGCTTTGGGGTGGTGCCGGGGCGCTGGTCTCTGGCTAGGCCCTGGGTCTGGAGGTGGTGAGAAAGAGTTAGTCCGCTTTTCCTGCGCTTCCTCGCTCGCCCTCGCTACCCCAGCTCCATGGATCTCTGCTTTGGGGTTCACGGACCAGCCTTGGCCATAAGGGCCCGGGAAGGTGCTGGGAGAGAGGCTGCAACCTGGTGCGCCCTGTCCCACCCCGTCCGTGGTCTCTACATTAAAAAAAAAAAAATTATATATATAAATATATATACACACACACATATACATATATAGTTTCTAACATTAAAAAACCAATAATATATATATATATATATATATATATATATATATATATATATATTTATATATATGTTTTTAACTCTATCTCATAAAAAAGTCGATTTTTTTTTTTTTTACGAGAGATAGAGTTAGAAACATCAATGAGAGAGAAACATTGATCAGCTGCCTCCTGCACACCTCCCACTGGGGATGTGCCCTCAACCAAGGTACACGTCCTTGACCGGAGTTGAACCTGGGACCCTGCAGCCCGCAGG